AACGGATGTCTGCGGCAGATATGTAGCGAATGTCGTTATTGGCACTCTCTTTGCTGACATCGTTATATATTGTAATGCTGCCAAGATAGGAGAATAAAGAAATGTACGTAATATTTCTAATTTTGTTTATTTATTTATATGTAATTAATGAGTTTGATGTGCATGAAAGGTTCTTCTTTTAAATTTATTTTCTTTTTATAGGAGCACATATTCTCAACATTTGATGCTGATCCAAAACGAGGCATTTACAACTTAAAGCGACTGAGGTTTTTGAATAGAAATTGCTAGGAAATCAAGTAATGTAATAGTTGTACATGCATATGTAAATAAATAACATCATTGAAATACAAAACGCTTTTTCTTAAATTTTGGCGAATATTTTTTCATAACAAATTAGGTCATATTTTGCCTTTATTCGGTCACATCTGCATGCATATTTCTCGGTTTTTTAGATCATGAACATCCGAACCCCACTTATCACTTATCACACTGCTAAGATACACACTCCAACACATTAGCACGCCTACGAAAAATTTAGCAAGCGGAACTTTAAAATCTAAATGGAGTAGGTCCATTATGTTTATCATGTGCATCTATACATTGAAATACGCAATTTCTGCTACCTCCATCATTCCTCCAAGCTCATTATACTCGTTCTTAAACCATCAAGAAACAAGTATAAATCACAATATCTAAAACAGTGTCTTTATTTTTGTGTTCAAAACCTCATCGTAGAAGGAAATAGAACAATTATTAGTAAATTCAGAATTCTGACACGTGCTGATAAAAGTATGTAGGAGTAAGACGGGGTAACGGATTACATGATAGAAAACATCAAAAAAAAAAAAAAAGAGTACACAGAAATTTTACTAAGAATCTTTTTCAAGCAATCTTTGGATACTAAGACATAAATAGGATGATACTACTAATACTGAAATGGTAAAGAAGTTGTGGAAATGCGAAATGGATAGATTCTAATGTCTGCCTTGGGATAATAATGAACTAAATAACACCATCGAGCAGAGCCCTTCTTTAGACGCTGCCCATTTAATCAAGAAATGTCCTGAATTTATGGAATTTGAATGTCTACAACAGCATCCAAGCTCAAGTTCTGGGACAAGACTATGATTACTTGAGGGTGGCATCACACTGCAAAATAGTGGATATGTGTGGAAGATGGCAGCACAGGATGTACAAAAGACAGGTCATTACAAATAAATAATTTATTGTCTCCACCGGACTGAGGGGGTTGGTATTATAATTGTTGCCACCACAAAGACAATGACATGATACACCTGCCCAGCATTCCTACAACACATACATTATTCTCTCAGGGAATATAATCAGTTATTATATATAAAAAAAGTTTAGAAACTTAAAATCAAACTTCGCTACAACAGCTGTGTTTTGTAAATGCGAGCAAGATATGTTTCTGCCTTTCTGCTGCTTTAGCAACACTTTAGACACTGTACAGAACAAAAAAAAATTGTTGAGATATTTATATTATTATAATTATTATTATAATATATGTAACATATAAACTTAAAAATTGTATTATTATAGATAAACTATTGCATTAAACATTATTTTATTTTTGTAATGTTCTCGCTAAGCACAGAACAAAATTTATTTACTATGATACCCTTTCACACACTCTACATCATGCCATCGCATCTCCGTAAAAGTGGAGAACTGCTTCTAATAACACAGTCAAAGTTTCTGGTACGTATACAACATTATTCTATCAGTACAGGAATTGAAAGGTGGCGACAGTGATTCAAGTGTGTTCGAGCGCTACAGCATTTCCTTGTCCTTTCACCATACATCGTCAGCAATGAGTGGAGCTTGCTTTATAAACTCGCCAAAATTTTGAAACAGCCTTTGTTAGTATTATCTATCAAGTGTTTAAGAGCTTGTATAGTAAAATATTTGTTATTCGCACAGAGATTATAAATGTGGGATAAACAATTACAGAAAACTATTATTGGAGCCAATGTCAAACAAGCAAATGATAGCCCCTGAAAAAGTCACCTATTTTTTTCTTTTGAGAAATGCCTGTACATTATAAATGTAACATAAATTTCCTTCAGTGATACCTGACTTTTGCAGCAATTTGTTTAAATTATACATTACATATAAAATATTATTTCCACAGATTATTGCTTCAAAACATACTACATTGCCCATATTACTAAGAGCCATATTTGTAAGTATATGTTTATGTGCTATGTGTTATTTATTTATTTATTTACATTTATTTAATGATGCTTCTTCAGTAGTTCAAACAATAAAGTGCAGAATGAGAGGATGATAGTGAATTAGAAACCATGTGGAAAGAAGCAAACATGGCCTAAGTGAAGGTACTATCCCAACACTTGTCTTGGACTGAGGAAAACCATGAAAAATACCCAGTCACAACTGAAACATGTACTATGTAGCTGGGTGGGTTTGTTTGGAGTTTGTACCAGCGAAACACTGATAAGTAACACTATCTGGCTTACTACAATAATTTCTGCATCAACCATTCCATGTGAATTATAAATAATAATCTGTGGCGGAACAGCCCTCTGAGAGCCAAAGCCGACTAGCTGGCTGCTGGCCTCACATTCACATGCCTAAGCAGAGGTGAACGATCATCCAACCAGATATAGGTGTCGTGCGGTCAGTACCACGAACCCCCAGCCATTGCTAGTTTTCCTGACCAGATTACGCTACTATTTGTAGCTCCCCAATTTCCTCACGATGCTGGGTTGGCACCGGTCCCATACACCGGTCGAAAGCTCATGAGAAAATTTCTTCTCCCCCGAGACTCGAACCAGCGCATATTCCGTATCGCCGGTCCGAAGCATGATGCCTCAGACCTCGCGGCTACGGTGCGGGACCCAATATAACACATACACAAGAGAAATATTTACTTATTTGAATCAATAATCCTGCAGCTAACATCTTGAAACTCTCCAACAGTAATACAATACAACATAACGAAAACTGTGATTCAGCAGTCAATACTCTTACTTCATAATGGCGAGTCCCACGTTCAATTCTCAGCGCAGTCAGCAAGCTCCACTTGAACAGAAATGATAAACTCAGCACCTGATATGCTATGGACTAGATCCAGAAATCTGTATATCCTTATGTCTGTACACCATTATAATCATGGGGGAAGATTAATTTCATATTCGAGCACACAGTTAACAACAATGTTGACACCAATCATTGGACGAGTTTTTCTTCTTAACTATAAACAATATTCGAGTGTATCTGGTAGCCATTGAACAACAATGTTGGACTGAGTTATTAACTTCATACACATGAAGGGAAAAACAAAAACACCTTCAGTTACCTCAGAATTACTTCCTTTAAACAGAGATTATATAAATGAGATTTTACATTTCATTAGCAAACATTACGTTATAAGCAACAGCAAGGGTTCTCAATTCTCTTAGTACATAGTGTATAAAATTTGGTATTTTGTACAGAAAAAATTCCTGAAATGCATATACTCAGTCAACTTTCAAGAAATTTCAAGAAGCAATATCATAACATCAGTAATGTCCAAAGTTAATATAGTTCAAATGAGTCAATTTTTAACTTCCTGTTGGTTAACTAGAAAGTCTGACTTAATGATGAGGCAGTCGCACTTCTGAAGTGCTTCTTCCCATAAGTTATATTTTGGCATTTGATTTTGAGATTCATCAGAAATGTAAAAGATAAATACAACACATTATAGGAAGAAAAGTATTTATAATTTTTTTATCATTATTATGTTATGTATTCATGTAAGTGATCAATCTTTGAAGCAGTCTGGACATTTCTTACATAAATATCAATACAGTCACTACAATTATAAATGTGCACATTCATTTGTAAAATTCTGTACAATTTCTGTCAGTAATTGAGAGGGTTAGTAATAATGGATTTCTGGACTTTGTCCATCACCTAGTGTTCTTCAAAAGAAACTGAATCTGTTTTTGAAGACAACTTTCTGGATTGTTGCGCCATGTAGTCTGGTAGAAACTAAACTTCCTTTAACGTAAAGGAAGTTTACCTTCAGACTCATTGCCGTGAAAACCTCAAACCCTTTTTGGATCTTTTTGTCCAAAAATTTTCACCAGAGAATGGAAACAGATCCAGTTTCCATAACAGTGTTCTTTTAAGAATATTAGATTGACAGAAGTCCAGAAATCCAGTAATATTCTAGTGGTACAATTTTTTCCGAGAATGGAACAGGCAAAACTTTACTGCCAGTGGAGTGGAGATCACTTCCACTGCAGCCGTGTGAGTTGCGTCATGTCCAGATTGAGTTCAATTACATCATCTCAAAATGAGTGGGATCTGCTGTTCTGGCCATCTTTTGTAATGCCAAGCATGAGGTACAGTGCATTTAAAGGGGAGAAAAACAGAATTTAAACTTACATATAGCATATAATGTTTTCAAGTCTGCTAGTAAAACAACCCGGTTTTAAAGAGCTTGGGGAAAGCTATTTTGAGGGAAGAGGCAAGTTCTTTGTCTACCAAACGGTATCAATTTCAATACTAAAAGGATAGCCACTCATATTCTAGAGATTTTGGTTCTAAGGCTGACGTCTTCTGTACACGCCCTCTACACAGGAACCCCTCCCTACTGACTGGGCCATTCCCCCAACGTTCTTTTCCTCCAACCCTATATAAATTGCTCCACTTTCCAGCAATGCCACATAAGGAGACTATGTTTCTATGAAACTTTGGCATCTAATGAATCTTACATGATGCCAGAATTCAGAACATTATCATAATCCTCACTGACATGAAAACCTCAAATCCAACAAAAAAAAAAAGGCATTTGTTACAGGACATACTGGGAATCATGAAAGACATTTGTTATAGAGTAGTTATATAATATAGATTTTTGGATCAGATGTAAGAAATTAACTAATCCCATGATGTAAGGTCTTCCTTAATAAGTTGAAATTGCTGAGATAGTCAATCTGACAAAAATT